CATAACATTTTGTGTATATTTCCCTGTGCTATACAGTAGGTCCTTGTTGCACACCCTGTTTTAAAAATCAGGAAATTTCACATAACATTCCTGACTTAAGACTTCTCTTAGAAAAGTGGAACTTCTGACAATATGAATTAAGGATTTTTGCATAGCAGCATTTGTCTAGAGTTGAATATTGGTTGTCTATTTGGGTGCAAGTTTCCAGGCTCTGCATTTCACCACAGACCCCCACTATTCCCTCTTGCCCCATCCCAAGTTCCCTTTACTCAATTATGTCGCCTGACCAATCGCTAGGTTTGGGGGCCCCTGTCCTTTTCCATAGTGTATTTGCCTTGCAAACTTTAAGTTATATGATAAAAACAAGTTCTCCTTAAAAAAAAAGTTTTGCAGGCACAGGGCTTACTTAAAACATAATTTTAGCAGGTACATATTTTGTTCACTTAATGCCGAGAACTGGTGAGAACCCTGTAGGAATACTTAGCACTAGAAATGTGTGGGAATGAAGGGAGATGGTCGGCATTATCTGGAGCCTCCAGCATACTAAATGGAAGGGCTTCCTTCAAAGAAACAAAAAGTAACACACAAAGCTAAGTGATAGAAGCAGTATTGAAGGGGAAGACCCTTAAACTTCAGGGAGACTGAAGGACGGAGACAGCCAGGGAGGTTAGGTGGAGGGGGTGGAAGGGGCGAGACCCTCCCATCAGCTTCCCCCACTCCCCATGAGAACATTCCACGACAAAGAAAATGGAAGCAACTGAGCTGGGAAATACCCAAGTTGAAGCTCCAAGGATGCTGTTTACAAGTTCTTACAGGAAAGACTATTATGGGCGAGCGCTTAATGGATTGTCTGTCTGTCAAGGGAAGAGAGGCTGGGGTGGGGGAGGGCTGGAGTTAAGATGGAAATGGCTCAGGCCTCGCATCTTGCATTTCCTGCCTTTCCATTTACAATCTGCCTGGGGATTAAAAGGCCAGGAGGGGAGCATGCTGAGCTCAGGAGGAAGGAGATGTGTGTGTGTGTGTGTGTGTGTGTGTCCTGAATATTTTCTGGGCCCAAAGAGGGCTTTCTGATCTGCAGAGAAGACACCCTCTACAGTGTAGGAGGCTGCCAGGATGACAGGCGGGAGGGTCAGATTATTGGTTTCCTGGGTGGAGGGTGGACCGGAAGGAGGGGTGCCAAGCCCTGAAGATCTCAGTTAAACTTTGGACTGACTCACCCCGGGAGGTGGCACGATTTCCTCTGAAGGTTTAAAATAAAGGGCAGAGATTCCATCTGGAATGATGGGTGTGGCCCTGCCCAGCAGCTAAGATGGTCCCTGTGATCTCTCCAGCCCTCTTTGTTCTGAGACTAGACATCACCCTTCACTGCCTGAGAAAATTCAAGGACTGGAAAGGTTTAGTCTCAGTACATTAGAATTACTGTTAGAAAATAAAGATCCTTAAAGCCAGATTCTTTGCCTTCTTGGGCAACAAGCGGGAAGACATCTCTCTTCTGTCAGATACTCAAGCTCCAGAGTCAGAGAGTGGAGTGAACAGAATACTATTCTTTATTTAAAAGTGGACTCTGTGGCTGTTGACTCTTCCACGGCCCGACGTTAATGTACCCGAATGCAATTTGCTGTCTGGAAGTGGTGCACCGCATTCTCCTGGGCCCTGTCGAGAAATGATGACAACCCTTCCCTCTACAAAGAAGGGTGATCATATGGCCGTGTCAGGATTAATAGTGTCCCCTTTCATTCTTAAAAGGGCTCCTGTTTGGACAATAAATTACATGGTCACTCTACCACGAAAGAGCAGGAAAAGACTCGGAAGAAAACTTTGTTTGGGAAGGCAGTGTTGAAACCAAGGCATTTGAAAAACATGATTTTCTGTTTAAATATATATGATTCTTTTTTGTAATCTAAACGACAACCTTCAGAGTTTGACTTCTTGTTGGAAAGAGAGGAAGTAAGTCTTATTTTTGAGAAAGCTCATTCAAACAAAACAAAAAGCAAGTAGAATGAAGTAAAAACTTCCTAGTCGGAGGCCTGAACCCTGTAGGGGAAGTGGGGACTGAAGGAGGGCTTGGAGCGGCCTTCTGTCCACGTGGGCAGGCCCCTAAGCAGGGTTTTGAAAGGAAAGAGGATACAGAGAGGTCCATGACTTGATGCTGCTTCACTGGAACATCCAGGAATGCACATGCCCAGGCCAGAGCACCCTGCAGTCAGAGGGAATAGGCTCATGCCAGACTCTTGGTCCTTTGCTGGGGCCACTTGACCATGGTTGATTGCAAATGTAGGGATTAATGGTTGAAAAAATCTGGGCTCTGAGGTTATAGCTCAGTGGTAGAGTGCCTGCTTAGCATGCACGAGGTCCTGGTTTCCAATCCCCAGTACTTCCATTAAACAAGATAAATAAATAAATTCACCTAATTACTTCTCCCCCCGCAAAAATTTTTTAAACAAAATCTGGGCTCTAGTCACTGATGCTAAAGGATAAACTGAGATTAAACATTTAAGAGTTTATTGGGGTAAAAATCAATTCCTACTGGGCAGTGCCAAACGAGAAGTGGTTATAAGTGTTCCTGTGACAGCAGCTGGGGAAAGACATAGGTAGAGAAAGTGAGGAAGCAAAGAATAGAGATTATTTGACTGACTGTCACTTAAAGCCTAGTTGGCTGTTTGTGACTGGTTGTCCTTAGGGTTTGAATTTCATAACCTTGGGGTATTTCCTGGCTTACAGTTTGCTTATTCAGGCCTCCCTCCTTCATTAATGTAACACTTCCTAGGCGGAGTGACCTAGAGCAAATGGTTCTCTTCAGCCTGGGTTTCCTCCTCTGTAAACTGGGGATGGTACTGCCGCCTAATTCCAGGGCTTCAGTGAGAACAAATGGAGAAGGGCAAAGGGCATCAGTGAGCTAGGGTGGGCCATGCTGATGTGAGGGGTTGGCCCGTGGCCCCCGTGTGGTCACAAGGAGCGCTGTGTCCTGTGGGCAAAGGGAGGTAGTAACCCTGGAGTGATTTCATGTCGGGGGCATGTGACAGACAGCCTTCAGCGCTCTCTTTTCCCAGCCCTCTCAGCAGCTGACAGGTCCAATGAGGCTTCGCCAAAATGTTCAAGAAGCTTGTCCTAACATGGGTCTTTCTGCAGATTCTGGCCCGCACTGCTGACCACAAACAGCTCTGGGAACTTCAGAATGAAGCTGGCGTGGCTGTAGAAAGAGGCAGTGTTATATATGATTGTGGAAAATGGTGTAGTATGGGCACTTAGGACGTATTCATTTATTTATTTACCCTCCCAACAAACAGGCACAGAGCCCTGCTCTGGTCCCAGGCACTGGGGCAGTTGGTGTGGCCGGGCAGACACCTTATCTATCTTGATCTGGAACTTGCCTCCTTGAGGGAAAAGCTTGCAAAGAACACAACTAACTTACACTATGTTAAAGGAAAAAATAAAGACCAAGAGGCCGAATATTGAGCACTGAGTGGGGAAGTTTACTGCTAAGTAGGGAATCCTTAGCTCTGAGGTGTGAGGTCCAGCAGCGGAAGGAATGGAGTAGGGCTTCATAGCTAAATGCCTCATCGACAGTGGGAAGACGGTCTCACTGTGCGTTGGTGCCAGGCTGGCAGTACCTGGGCTTGTTGATTAGGTGGGCACCCGATTGGCTCCTGCATGACAAGGGCTGCCCATGGCATCGTGGTGCCTGGCCGGTTGTCTGCTGCATGCAAGATTTGCCGAGGTAGGCTTATGGCAGCCAGAGAGGTCTGCGTTTATCAGCAGGCTGGGTAGCCAGGTCAGGTGTGTCTCATCTAATGGGTTCTGTACCCACTAAAGGTGAAAAAAATTTTTTAAATTAATTTATTTTTTAAGGTGAAAATTATTAAGATAACATAGAAACATGGAAACTAATATACTCCTTATACGCAAGGAGTAGAACATGAAAAGACCACAACTGCAGGACTCAGAAATCCTTGGGTAGCAAGTGACAGGAACGTAAATTAACCAGCTTAAAAAAAATGAGAATTTATGGGCTCATGTGTCTGGGAATCTAGGGTATTGCTGGATTTCTGGATCCAGGATTCGAACGGTGTCCCTGGGGTTTCTTTCTGTCCCTCACTGTCAGTTCTGCTGGTCTCTCCTCCACTCAATTCTTGGCTGCTCAGGGGTTCCCAGAGCAGCTCTCTTAGCAACCCCAGTGCAAAGAGAGCATCTTTTTTGAAAACCAGCTGGAAAGTCCCAGAAAATACACTTTTTGGTAGCACAAAATCACTTGCCTGCCCTGTGGCTGGAGTTGGAGGAAGGGAAGGATGGGGGCGGTCAGGTGGCATGGCTGTTACAGAAGGGGAGGAAGGAGTGCCAATGAATGAAAACCATGACTGTCCACCAGCTGTGTAAGAATAGGCACCTCCTAGTAGCACCAGAGACTCATGAGTAACTTACATGCTTGCATGGGAAGAGCTTGGATTTTAAAGTCATTTTCAGTCACAAAAGTCAGTGTTTAAATAGAATAGTCTGACCCAGAATTGTCCTTTCTGTCACATGATTGGGACCAAAATAGACATACACTTTTAAGCCTTGATCCTATGTACCAGCGTTTAGCAAACTTTTTTTCTGAAAAGGGCAGATAGTAAGTATTTTAGGCTTGTGGGCTATGTGGTTTCTGCTGCAACTACTGAACTCTACCATGGCAGCTTGAAAGCAGCCATAGCCTACACCTACACAAATGGACATGGCTGTGTGTCAGTAAAAATTTATTTTTAACAAGTATTGGGCCAGACTTGGCCCACAGGCATTGTCTTGCCAACCCCTGATATAGAAGTCTGAAAATCTTATATTTAAATAAGCCATATTACACTGCTCTAAAGTAAACTGTGTATTTGCAAACTGCATATCTGACAAGGGATTAATATCCAAAATATATAAGGAACTCCTGCAACTCAATAGCAAAAAAACAAATAAATCAATTGAAAATGGGCAAAGGACTTAGATATTTCTCCAAAGAAGACACACAAATGGCTGACAGGTGTATGAAAAGTTACACAGCATCCCTAGTCATCAGGGAAATGCAAATCTGAGCCACAGTGAGATAACAGCTCACACCTGCTAGAATGGTCATTATCAAGAAACCAAAAATAACAAGTGTTGACAAGGATGTGGAGAAATCAGAACCCTTGTTCACTGTTGGTGGGAATGTAAAATGGAGCAGCTGCTGTGGAAGACAGTATGGAGCGTCCTCAGAAAATTAAAAATAGAACTACCATATGATCCAGCAAGTCTGCTTCTGGGTATTTATCAAAAAGAATAGAAATTAGGATCTCAAAGAGATGGTTGTACACCTATGTTCATCGAGGCATTATTCACAATGGCCAAGAGATGGAAACAACCTAAACGTCCTTCGACAGATGCCTGGATTAAGAAGATGTGGTATATACATACAATGGACTATTATATTGCCTCGAAAAAGAAGGAAATCCTGCCACATGCAGCAACATAGATGAATCTTGAGAACATTATGCTGAGTAAAATAAGCCTGTTACAGAAGGACAAACACTGCATGATTCCACTTATATGAGATATCTAAAATAGTCACATCGATAGAAGCAGAAAGTAGAATTGAGGTAACCAGGTGCTGGAGGGAGGAGGGCAGTGGGAAGTTGCTGTTCAACGGGGGGAAGTTCCAGTTATGCAAGATGAGTAAATTCTAGAGATCTACTGTACACATTGAACCTGTAGTTAACAATACTGTATTGTGTACTTAAAAGTGTGTTAAGAAGGTGGACGCCATTTAAAAAAAACTATATCTATTTCTGTATCTAAAGTAGGTCCCATTTTTTAATTTTTGCTTTTATTTCTATTGCCTGGGTAGACTGCCGTAGGAGAACATTCCTAAGATTTATGTCAGAGAATGTTTTGTCTATGTTTTCTCCTACGAGGTTTATCATGTCTTGTCTTATATTTAAGTCTTTAAGCCATTTTGAGTTTATTTTTGTGTGTGGTGTGAGGAAGTGTTGTCACTTCACTGATTTACATTCTGCTGTTCAGTTTTCCCAACACCACTTGCTGAAGAGATTGTCTTTTCTTCATTGTATATTCTTGCCTCCTTTGTCGAAGATTCATTGACTGTATGTCTGTGGGTTTATTTCTGGGCTCTCTGTTCTGTTCCAGTGATCCATAGGTCTGTTTTTGTGCCAATACCATCCTGTTTTGATTACTGTAGCTCTGTAGTATTGTTTGAAGTCTGGGAGGGTTATTCCTCCAGCTTCATTCTTTTTTTTTTTTTTTTAACTTTTTTTTTATTTAGTTATAGTCATTTTACAATGTTGTGTCAAATTCCAGTGTAGAGCACAATTTTTCAGTTATACATGAACATGCATATATTCATTGTCATATTTTTTTTCGCTGTGAGCAGCTTCGTTCTTTCTCTTCAGTATTGATTTGGCAATTCTGTGTCTTTTATGATTCCATATAAATTTGAAGATTATTTGTTCTATTTCTGTAAAAAATGCCCTAGGTAATTTGATAGGGATCACGTTAAATCTGTAGATTGCCTTGGGCAGTATGGCCATTTAAACAATATTGATTCTTCCAACCCAAGAGACTGCAATACCTTTCCATTTCTTTAAGTTATCTTTAACTTTCCTAATCAGTGTTTTGTAGTTCTCCATGTATAAGTCTTTCACTTCCTTGGTCAGATGTATTCCTAAGTATTTTATTGTTTTGGATGCAATATATTTCAAATAAATAGTATAACAGTTTATTTTCTGTTCCCAGTGTAGTGGGGGAGCATTTGGAAAACATAAAATTGACCCCATCACAAAAGCAAGAAATTATAATTGCCCTATCCGAAGGGGCAAGTAATGTTCCACCATAAATCAATCAACTAGGAAATGGCCACATGGAAGACATGGCATCTGAAGGCCACAAGACAGCTGGCTGGGTTCAAACACTGGCCAGGATAGCTGTGTTTTTGCCAGTTTTGGCAATGCGTACAGTTATGTCGTGAATTTGGGACTAGTGTGTCATGCCCAGTTGAGATTAAAGCTCCCTCCTGGACCCTCCAAATCAGATGCTGCTTGGTATTGAAAACATTCATCTTGGGGTCAACAGAAGGCCCTCACAACTCTGATGGGAACGTCACCTGAGAAGACCTGTCTCCTCCCAGATTTGCATTTTAGCACCTTCACATTCTGCTGTGGCAGCTGCTGTTTTAATGGACACAGAGGGCCTGGCTGAGGGCTCCACTGGGGTCTGCTCCATATCTGAGCAGAGTCTGGGATCCTGGGGTCAGAGTGGGATTTTGGACCTTCTCGTTCTGCAGATGTGATTGTGGGGCGCACAGAGGCAGCCTAGAATGCGGGGTCTGCATGACTGTCATCTACTCCAGGCCTCCTAAGAAAGGCGGAAACTCTGAGAACATTCCATCTGAATAAGATGCGTTTAATAAGAGCCCTGGAAAATGGTAAAGCTGGCTTAGGGAAAGGGAATGTGCTCTTTCATATAAAACAAACAAAAAATGTGACTGTGGGAAGCATCCAAGAAAATAAGATGACCTGGAGGCTGGATTTAAAAATTGGCACTGAGGGAAATCTCATTTCCCCGGTTGATGACTCCCCCTTTGGCTGTGCTCATGCCAGCTGAGCAAACCAAAATAACTTCATAAATTAAAGTTCATGCAGGCAAGAAAGCTAGGCCTGGAATATCACACACCAGATGCAAACCTTGATGGCTTTGTTTGCAACTGACATCCTTGGTTTGAGGGTTGATGGTGTCGAGAGAAGGTTACGTTATGCATATATGCAATTAAAAAAATCACCACTGATAGACAGGGAGAGACATAGCTATGTTCACTTATAGTTTATGTCACCTTTGTTGCTTGTTTTCCCTTCTGGAAGAATGTCCACAGTAATTAATTATAACCAGCTTTTGTTTGGTACATGGAAATTGCTCAGAGAGCTCAAAGTATGTTAGTAGTAGTGCCTTGTCACTAGGACCTCCATTTTTTTCTCTTATTATACAAGGAATAGAAGGATGCATTTGGGATGTAAAAGGTTCAAATTATAAAGCAGCATACATACACAACAGAGTTCAAAATTCCCTTCCCCTCCATCAACCCACTACCCTCCCTGGCCATGAAGGCTTCCTCTTCTTTCTAGACCTCTTTCTTTATGTTCACTGTTGATATGTCTGCAAACAAGTGTGTATATACATATA